AAACAAGAGGAAGTGGTGTTTTTCATGGACGTGGTAGAGGGTGTCATAATAAAGGAAGGATCATGTTTAAATGTGATCGTTGCAAAGTTATTGGCCACACAAGGGATCGATGTTGGGTTCTACATCCTCACCTGAGACCTTCAAAGGATATAAGAGGACATGGTATAAGAGGCAAGAGAACTGACGTTCAAGCATCCACATCTGATTCACAAATTACTTTTGAAAAACTTACTCAATTTTTCCAGCAGTATGGTAAGAGTGGCAACACCTTCACACAAGACTCTCCCCAGAAAACAGGCAATTCCTCAGCTTACTTTTCTCTTTTTCATTCAAATACTTATTCTTGGGTTATTGATCTAGGGGCTACTGATCATATGACTAGTAATCTTAAGTGCTTAACCATTTATGAGAAATCTTCCAGTAAGCCTCCTGCATCAATAGCCAATGGCTGTATTATTCTTGTTCATGGTGTTGTAAAGTCTAAAATTATTTCCAATTGTATGATTCTGAAGTATTGTTTCTGCCATCATTTCCTTCAAATTTGTTATCTGTTAGTAAGATAACCAAAGATCTAAACTGCAATGTTGTTTTCTCTCCTCATAATGTTGTCTTTCAGGATCGGGCCACGGGGAAGAAGATTGGTGAAGGGAGAATTTTGAATGGGTTATATATTTTTTATCAAGAAAATAAAGCCTTGGTGGCTAGGCATTTCAGTAGTATGTCATGGCTACTAGAGTTGGCCACCCTTCAGATCATACTTTGCATCTTTTAATTCCTAATCTTCGTATTGACTCTCATGGGTGTGATACTTGTCAATTTTCTAAACAAACCAAACTTCCTTTTCAGAAGTCTTTGAATGATTATGGACCTTTTCAATTAGTTCATTCGGATGTTTGAGGATTTGCTCCCATGGATTCTTATTCTGGACATAGATATTTTGTTTTATTTATTGATGATTGGTCATATGCAACTTGGATATATCTTTTAAAATCAAAAGATGAAGTTTTTCAAATCTTTAAGGAATTTAATGTCCTTGTGTCCAATCAATACAATGGCCAGATTAAAAAGTTTCAATTTGGTGATGGTACTGAGTATGTTAATAAAAAACAATTTGAGTACCTTACTAGCCTTGGGATTATACATCAAACCTCCTGTGTCGGGACCCGTCAACAGAATGGAGCTGCCGAAAGGAAGAATAGGCATATTCTCTAAATCGGAAGGTCTTTAATGTTTGAGAAAAATGTTCCAAAGGTTTTTTAGTCTGAAGCTGTTTTAACAGCATGTTATCTCATTAATAGACTTCTCAGTAGAGTTCTTCTTGAAAAATCTCCCCCTGAAATTTTAAATAAAAAGAATATTAATATTTCTCATTTGCGTGTAATTGGATGCGTTTGTTTTGCTCATACTCTTGACCATCAACGCGACAAACTTGATTCTTGTACTGCTAAGTGTGTTTTTGTTGGATATTCCTCTACAAAAAAGGATACAAGTATTATCGTCCTACATTAAAAAAAATGTTTTTCTCTAGAAATGTTCAATTTTTTTACGATAAATCTTATTTTTAGACCAACTCTAAAGTCTCCGAAAATAAGATTCAAGGGGAGTATCCTCTTCCTATTTCTGCTAGTCAAAATAACAATTTTTATTAAAGAAATCAAGAGAATCACGAAATCTGAGAGAATCAAGATGTTGACATTAACAATGAGAATGAAGGTAGCAACAACAACACACCAAGAGATAGCACTCCTATGGCCCATCATCCTGATCCTCCCCTTCGCAACTCATCTCGTGTTATGCGTCCCCCCTAAAGGTTGCAGGACTTCTTTACTTACCATGTTGCTTCTTATCCTATTCAAAATCAGATTTGCAGTGAAAATATTTCTTCCAAGTTTGCTGCTTTTTTTAGTTATATATCTAACAATGTTGAACCTAGTAATTTTAATGATGCTCACTCTCAACCTATGTGGAGGAAAGCCATAGAGGAAGAGCTTCTGGCTCTTGACAAAAATTACACCTGGGCTATAGTCTGTTTACCTAAAGGTAAAAAACCTGTTAGTTGCAAATGGGTTTTCAAAATCAAGTACAATAGTGATAGTACCATTGAGAGACACAAAGCCAGACTAGTTGCTAAAGGTTTTACTCAAACCTATGGTGTATATTATAAAGAAACATTTGCTCCGGTTGCCAAGATGGACACTGTTCGGGTTCTTCTCTCTATTACTGTAAATTGTGGTTGGCCTTGATGGCACATAGACGTCAAAAATGCCTTCCTCCATGGAGACCTTGAGGAAGAAGTGTATATGAATCTTCCTCCAGGTCATCCTAAAGGAGGAAATCTTGAACTTACCCGTAGACTTAAAAGACTTTATATGGACTCAAACAATCTCCAAGAGAGTGGTATGCAAAGCTGAGTACTGCTCTATTAAGTATAGGGTTTAAAATTGGCTCTACCAACTCTTCCTTATTCAGGAAGAATGGAAAAAATGGAATAGTTGTTGTCCATGTGTATGTTGATAATATTGTAATAACTGGTAATGACAAAGAAGGAATCTCAAAGCTAAAAGGATACTTTCAAAGCAAATTTGATATTAAAGATTTAAGACAACTCAAGTACTTTCTTGGAATTGAGGTTGCATAGTCCAAAAAGGGAATTTTTATATTTCAAAGAAAGGATGTTTTCGATCTCTTAAAAGATATTGGTAAACTTGGGGTCAAACATCTTGATATTCCAGTCAACTTGAATAATAAACTTACTTCTGATGAAGTGGAGACTCTTGAAAATATTGATAGATTTCAAAGAATTGTTGGGAAACTAATCTATTTGACTATTACTAGGCCAGATATTGCTTATGCTGTTAGCCTAGTTAGTCAATTTATGCATGCCCCACGAACTAATCATCTGCTTGTTGTTTAAAGAATCCTTCAGTATCTAAAATCGTGCTCTGGAAGATGAATTTGGCTAAAATGTAACAATCGCATTGATATTGTTGGATATTCTGATTCCGATTGTGTTGGATGCCCGAATGATCGAATGTCTACCACTGGGTTCAGTGCAATGGTGGGTGGAAACTTTGTTACTTGGAAAAGTAAAAAGCAATATGTGGTCGCCAGATCAAGCGCAGAAACCGAATATAGAGCCATGGCTGCTACTGCAAGTGAACTTGTTTGGTTGAAATTTCTCATTCAGAATCTTGGATTTCAAGTGAAACTGCCAATAAAAATGTTTTGTGACAATCAGGCTGCCATTCATATTGCTGCAAATACTGTATTTCATGAAAGGACTAAACACATTGAGGTAGACCGCCACTTTGTCCGAGATAAGGTTCAAACTGGAATTATCAACACTCCATTTGTTCGAAGTGAAGACCAGTTAGCAGATATTTTTCCCAAGGCAATTTCAAAGACTAATTTTTTACAAGCTTTGAGCAAGTTGGGCTCAATTGATATTTAGGCTCCAATTGAAGGATTCAAGGTCAATGTCATGCTGTAGCCGTGGATTTTCCTTTATCATCACCTAATTTCTTGCCGTTGTTTCCCATGACGTATTATTTGTCGCTATTCTTTTGGGATTACAAGATCCTATTAATTTGGGTAGTTTCCTCTCGACTTACTCTTTGGTTTTGTGTATATATAGCCTCGTAAAGCTTCTTGTTCTTGTGGATGTAGACAAATATAGCCTTGTAAAGTTTCTTGTGGATTTGGTTTTGTGTATATATCGCCTTGTAAAGCTTTTGTGGATGTAAACAAATATTGCCGAACCACGTTAAACTTTATGTGTTCCGTCTTTCTCTTGCTCCAATCCATTTACTAAAGTTATCCTTCAAACTAGTGATAAGTTATTAATAAGTTTAAAATTTGGATGTCCAATCCATTTACTAAGGTTATCCTTAAAAACTCATCAGCCAAAATAACTTTATTCTTGTCATTTTCCATTAATTTGTGCACTAAGTGAGAGCAGAAGTTATCAGCCACTAATAACCTTAGTTTTGTCATTTTCGATTAATTTGTGTACTAAGCGAGAACCAAAGAAACTAGCTCTATCCATCAAAAAAAAATTGTAATAGAGAAGGAGGCTTTGATGTTGACTAGGTTGAAGCCATATCTGCACCATCGGAAGCCATTCCTACAGTTGTTGTGAGAGAAAGAAGATTTTTTGGTTTGCGGTGATCAGGAGCGACGATCAACAGTTGTAGAGAGAACACTGATGGTTGTTGATAGAGAAAGTTGAGACTTTCAGTTTTACTACGATGGGAAAGTTCAGATTTTTGGTTTCCTGTCATGGGAAGCAAAGCTATTGAAGATCAGAGAGAGTGAGTGCGTTTTTTATTTGGATTACTTTTACCGAGCGCTGGAGACAATTGTAGAGAGAGAAATGTCGGACTTCTTTAGTTTGGAAAACACGGGTAGAGAGAGAGTGAGAGACACGGGCAGTGAGAGAGTTGAGGAGATACGGGTTTGGGAAGAATCAGGTAGAAAGATAAATGAAAATTTTTTGAAAACTCACATGAAGAGAGAGGATGTAAATTTAGAAATTACATGTTAAAAAATAAGAGTTGGAGACGGAAGTCGTACAGAACAAGGAAGTGGGAAAGGGGGTAGGTTGTGTGGGCGGCGACATGTCTAATTCTTGGGCGGTTTTTTACTAAATGAAGTTTAAATTCACATCTTAAAATTATCTTATAAGAATTCCACTCCAAGAGTTTTTTTTTTTGTTGGGCAATTTACTCCAAGAGTTACTACCATCAAGTCCTCTCTTTCTCCAGTGGCAGTCTTATTTAGGGACTCAACATCATTTTTTGGGTTTTTGTTTTTTAAAATTATTCATTTTAGGGTTATTCTCAAACTTTCATATCCAACAAGTGGTCCATTGGTGCTTTTCCCCAAGGGACTAAGTGTACAATTTGCTCAAGTAATTTTAGTGTACATTTCTGTCAAGAGTCAAGACAGTGAATTGAGCGTGTTTAGATTTGTGTGTTTTTCAAGTTACTGATCACACTCAGTTCAGTGTAACGCTGCTTCTACCAAATAATTGTGTTCCCCATGCTATTCGGGATTTCCTGTGGACATCGATTTCTTGTGATTCTCAATGCCAACAATAACCATTCTAAATTCTTCTTCCCCCTAGCCAATTTGAACAGAGTAGTCCCATACAGACTTTGTCATAATGGTAACCCAATATTGTGAACAACATAAAATGTAGTTGATTATGAGATAAAGTCTCAGAACTAGGACTATATCAGTGTGATACCTCAAGAATCGGATATCAATTCAAAATTCTCTTCCAAGATTGGGTGTAAATCACGCAGCGATGACACCTTAAAATCAGGCTGTATCTCAGCAAAAGATTCGGGAGAGTCATACTTTCCTTGCTCATCAAGTAAGCAAGTGAATGCTCCCGCACCTTTTCCACAACCCACCTACAAAAATACAGAAAGAGAAATTGAATTAGATACTAGACTCCACCGGTTCAGAGAGAGATATTTGCAATTATATTCAGAATTTTGAACATTTCCAAACACTTCAGGGAATCTCATTCTAAAGAAATGGGAAGGTCAGGTATATACCACTATAAGGGACCATATGCAAAAAGATACAGATCATCGCTCTAGATGTCCGTCTAAGCAGCATAGTTAAGACTAGCACAATTAGCAAGTTTAAGAGAAAGGCAGCGGAGGAAAGAAGTGCAAATATCTAGGAGAGGTAATTAAATGGGGCACTTCAGCCTAAATAAAGGCCTTATCATGAGCAAAACTAATCGATTTCAGAGATCTCAGAATTGCTCAACGAGATTGCTTGAGACCATATAGTTTAGAGAAGAATCAATCCTTCACTGTTAATGAACAATAGCTCCACGGAAAACATTGGAGAGAGAGATAAAATGTAGGCTTAAAAGTGATCACTATCTCCTAAGGGAAGATGCCGGGCCCTAAACATTGTCCAATTGGGATTTGCTGTCTAATAGTGTCTTCCAAGAGCTACTGTGTCTAGGGGCAATCACTCTCTTCTTCATTTTGTTGGGGTGTTTGTTTCTTTTAAGTCTCTCCTAGCATTATTTCCTGGATAGTTTCTCTACACTAGCAATTTGTGTTCAACCATATATGAAAGAATAAACAGAAATAACATTTAAATTATATTTTTCATTCACGCACAAAGATGGACAATAAGGTTCCTCACACCAATTGAAAAGCATTTAAGCATAACTAAGATTACAAAAATGTTTGATTTTGCAACTTAGAAAGTTAACAATGTCATCATCGATTCAAAATGTCTCTGGTTACTTTTTTGTCTAATCTTCCATTTATCACTCATTTATCACATGAACGGTCGAATCGTTAAGAAGGGTACTCACATCGTCACGGAGGCTGTCACCAACCATAATGACTTCATTTGGAGGGATATTCCATTCTGAGCAGATATGTAGCAATGGTGCAGGGTCTGGTTTGTAAGGCCGAAACTCCCTGCTAAGAGCTGGAATGAATTTCATCTGCACAACATTTGAAGACAAGTAACGAATATATTATCATATAGCATTTGAAGACAAGTAACGAATATATTACCATGTAGCAATGCAAAAGGAAGTGAATGTAACAAAAATTTACTGCCTTAACAAGCCTATCCTAAAGTTGCATATTGTTGGTGGTATAAAACCAATGGGCTAGAAATGCAATCTTTTAAAAATTTTCCATTGTATAAACTCAAGGGTTTAAATGTATGAGTATCTCAATACAAAACCATAATACATATATTCTACCCTACAAACATGGTTTATACACAATTGTATAATAAAATTCAACCGTAATAGGTCCCTTACAAATCCCTTACTCAAAAATATAATTATTGCAATACAATATTCAAATATTCACAATGTACATCTCTACAACATATTGCATGACTTGCACTCGCAATTCCTTATTATATCAAAATCATATGATAATTTCATCTTCATTCTTCATCCTCATCATATATCATAATGTCTCATACACATCATACACTAGATCATAATAATTCGATAAGAATTCAATTCGCATAAACAATAATGCATAGCATTAAAGTTCATACCGCAAGATTAAAGAACAATCTCAATATACACACAACATACTCAATTTAACCAATCATGAATCCATTTAATAAATGTAAACACATCAAATTAACATGTAAACATACATGGGGCAACCATGGTTCGAACCCCTTGTGCTCTAGCCACGAAAGGGCCTTTTAAAGACTTAATTTTGTCTCATTGTCTAAAGCACGGGTGATAATAATAACTCAAGGAGATCAATCCAATGGGAAGCAAATGATCACTTTTCTTTCACTTAATGGGGATCAAATCATGAGAAAGACATGTATCAAAATTGCCGTTCAAAGTTAGAGAGAGATACTGTACAAAATAAGGAAGTTATGGTGAAACTACACTATGTGGTCCATAAGGGGCCACACAAACTTTTCAACATTAAAAAAAAAACTCAATGGACTATTTCATACGCTCAAATATGATTAAATAAACCTCTCATCAATTGTATATTCTCAGTAAAAATTTCAAAAAATAAGAAAATCAAGTTGAAACTACTCAAGATCATGGAGTAAGCAAGCTAGTCTACACATACTACGTGTATCGACTACACTATTGCTTTGGGACTCTTCAAATGTCAAGTTTTCAAGACCAAAAATGAATAAAGCTACTGTAAATTAAGAATTACAGCAAGCTTTGATAATGGAAATGAGGTAGGGATTAAAAATATACAAAGAAAAATCAATACCTTAATGAAGCAATAGTATGGGCTTGATCACATAAATGAGGGACTACTCCATGGAAGGGTTTCAAATGAAAGCTCAATGAAGAAGATAGTCTCATGGGTGGCCACATTTTTGTCAAGGGGGCTCTCTCTCTCTTTGAAGTGAATACTCAAGTTAGGGTTATCATTGATTCTATAAGTTTCTTTTATACTTAGATCATACAGATGGATTTGATCTTGATCCTTGATGCTTTAGATCAATGGCACAAAAGAGGCTTTTATCCAAGCCATTCATCCATATCTTATCACCAAGATCAATGGATGAGCTTTTGACACCCTTCACTCCTTAAAACTTAGGTTTATAGTCATTTTATCTTGAAGCTCTTAGCTCCATGTTTTATTTTCCATTAAGTACAAATTCATGTTTACACTTATGTCCATGATTTTTGAATAATTTGTGAGCGACAATAAAATACAAGGATATGGACATAAAAGTAATATGGGACATCCACACATATGAATAAAATATCTTATGGCACCACCAATAAGATTTTAACAATACTAAAGTTTCACATGGGTCAAGCCCATAAGGTAGTGCCACATAAGATATACCCACATGCTACAAAATCATATGTGGAAAATCATATGAATTAAATTAATTTTCAAAACCTATGACTTCACACATGCCAAAACATATGAGAAAAAAAAAACATGTGACTTAAATCAAACTTAAGTCATAACATTATATACCACTTTAAATAACAAGATAACATGTTATAACATAATACCAACAAAAGAATTAATGACAAATAGGTCCCCACATGAATATGACATGAGCATGATGTCATCCACGAGTGGGGACGCACGTGGCATCCCTATAGCCACTTGGGTTCCATGTGGCATCCCCATAGAATGTCCTCGTTTGGTATTTATGTCAAACAAATTTGAAAATCATATTTTTATTGTTAAATAAAATCTGAAAAATTCTCCAAAAATCCCAAAAATTCTCTAAATGATTTCTCAATATTATTACACAATTTCTCATCAATATAAAAAAAATTTCTCATCAATTTTAGATTAATATGGGCCAAAAATAAATGAGATATCTAGACTTATAACACTAGTCGGAGTCTTCCATTGGGCTAACCCGAATGACGTTCTACCGGTGTCTCAAGCCGATTCAATAGACCTATGCTCCACAGTCTATAGCAGGGATACATAATTGGTCATATCAAAATCGTTGAGCCAGAGTTTCCCATCACCGGGGGTTTAATGGATGACTGGTGCACCCTTGTGGTACATGTTCCTACTCAAATACAAGGGTCATCTCAAAGCACATGTGCACTAGCTCTTTTAAGTCAGATAATATTATAGAAGAGTGGCTTCTCCATACGACTGTGGGTACACATGCCATGGAATGGTCTCATGTCAGAATACGGGCTCATGCTCCATGAGCCGACCATTCTATACAGGGCAAATACTCTTTCAAATACTCGAATTCTATTATTCTCGATTGGATTCTTCAAGCCTTGGCTTATCACATCAACTATGAGGCATTCTAATCAATATAGTCCTGAGTGGGAGGTGACCCTCACACCTCCTTGAGAGTTCACACTCTCAAAACGTATACTCTCAATGCCTCAAATACTCAAGGTATATGAATATGGGCCTCGGTGCACCAAGCACCCAGATTCAGTTTCTCAACCTCCCACTGAGCGTAAGACTATTGGCTTTAAAGCCTTGAAAGGCCACATATGACTTACAGAAGGGGATAAGAGTGACTAATTCTCATTGGCAATGGCATCATTAATTCTTATGGCATTATATTACCAAAAATTTAAAGGAAGATTTTGTTTTTCAACACTTTAAAAAAACAACATTATACCAATATAATGAGCATCACACCTCTCCCTCCCAGGCTTTCGATAATGCTGAGGAGGTCGACAGGGATGGGACAATTGGGATGAAGACAGGATGAGAGATATGTACAAAATAATGGCGTTTCAGTATGACGGCCTCAAAGGACCGGCCCACAAATTCCTCACAGCTGACGCGCAAAGCAGGATGCAGCGCTATGGACGTCTCATGGAAGCATCTATGGAGGAGGTCCAACATGTTCGCAGATCCCTTGACGAAAGTGGGAGCTAGAATCCAAGTAGAAGATCAAGCCAAGTCCGACTCCTTTTTTGCTCAGGACCACAGACACATAGCATAACACTTTGTATTTGGGCACCTTCCAGCCCTACTTTATTTTTTGAAACTACATGTACATCTTTGTAATCAAGCGGTTCCAATAAGCCCCTTTTTTGTACATGACAGGCTAACGCATTTTTTACCGAGTCACCCCAAGTGGCCGACATCGGACTCTCATATCCATGTAAACATCTCTCCTCAGTAATACAATGTTAACCTTCTCTCAAAAAAAATGGGCATCACACACATTTCTAATAATCAAGAGAGTATTTAAAATAAACAACATTCTTATTTTGAAATAATGGGCCACGACGATTACTGTAATGACAACTGTTAGCTCACGATCAACAATCAAATTCAATACCACTTAAAATCCACAAAGGCAATGAATTTGCTAAATAAAGAATGTTTGACTTCGAGAAAATAATGGCTAGCAATCTTCCAGAAAGCACAAAGTGAGATTCATATCGAAGATTCTGTCAGTGAGATTCATACCACAGAGACCCACAAAATGCAATTTGATAAGCCAACAACTGCTACCAACTAAGAGAATGTGTTATCTAAACAACAACATTAACAAAATGGCCAAGGAATGAAGAATAGCCGTCGAATGGCTGAGGAATTAACTGGGTAAGGATCCAAACAATCACTTTTATCCCTACATATTAGGAATATTAATCCAAATGTAATTACTAACTTGAAGTATATGTTTATAAGTAAATAAAGAAAAAATTGAAATAGCATCCTGCCTGGCTTTCAATTTTACAAGGCAATAAGGAAAAAAAACGTAATCTGTAATAAACCATGGGTTCGACAGATAGATCGATTTAAAAAGGCTTGTTATAGTCTGGCAGATCTTTTTTTTTTTATCCTTTTTTTTCTTTTTTAAGATTAAGATGTTATTTGCCATATGTGATAGGTTTACAACAGGTCGATCAGGTCGGAAAGGCTTGCCATAGACCTAGTTGCTAATGAATAATGTGAGGCAGATCAAAAGTTGGATAATTCAAAAGTTCTATTTTTTTTTTTTTATTTTCATAGATTCAAGATGATCGCGTTCGAATATTTGGAGTGAACAGATTGGGACCAGAGAAGCATTAGCAAGAAATTATCGTATTTTTTCTTTCTAGCAAATCTCTTCTTTTCTTTTATAAGTTGTTTTTTTTTTTTGTGTGATAAAAGTCCCTTTTTTTGTATGAGTTGTTTTTGTTGAAAGACTTATCTTTCAGGAAAATAAGTGACTTGTTTTAGTTTTGTGAGGGACACTGAATAGATTATAGGAAATAGAGGAGTAGATAATATGATGTTTTATACTTTATCTTTTGGAGAAGAAAACTACCTTTTTTTCTTTTGGGGGAAAGGGAATCTTTAGGAAGAAAAAAGTTCAGAAGAGCACTCTTAAAAAGGGAGAGAGAGCTTTTCTATTGAGTCTCTCTTTTTTAGGGTGCGTGGTGGAGGTCTTGACTCCCCTCATTTGTGCCCCTTTTCTTGCTATCTCTTCTCAGTCGATTGTTTCTCTCTCTAGAATGCAGTTGTATTGCTGTCGGTGGTCTCAGGT